ATTTGGATTTAAAGGTCCACTGGTGAAAGCCATCTCCTGGAAGGTGGGAGCAAAGAACAAACAGAAACAGGTTCTGAAAGACAGTGGAAATAAGAGGAGCCACACATTATCCCAAAATGTTACCATGGAGTTTACCATGGGGCATCTCACAGGAAATAATATGGATGGCGGAGGACATGAGGACCATACACGGTGATGGAGAGTGTAGGACAGTCATGCCTGCACATGGTGAGCACTCAGTAAATGCTGACTGAATGAGTGGGCCACTGTGGGCCTGAACTGCTGCTCTGGGAAGTCATGAATTGCTTTGTGAATGGCAGGGTTTGTTTATTTATTTACTTATGTATTTACTTAGGTACATCTAAAAAAGAATTGAAGTGATGCGCACTATTAAAATGTATATAAACCAGAGTAGAAAAAGTTAAAGCAGAAACCATTTAAAAGAAAGGAAGAAAGCAATGTGCTGGAAACCTAAGGCTAGAGAATCATGACAATGGAGCTAATTGGAAGCTCTGAGCTTCCTAGCAACTAGTTCAAGAAAGAAACATGCTGGATTATACAGTCTCATCAGCCAGTAAAGGGAAGTTTGTAAACTTATCTGGAAATGGAGACTTATTCTTGGAGCTTAATTCTAGAAAAAGTTTATTGCATGGACGCTTAAATGAGGAAAGAAGACATTTAATAATGTTTTGCAAAAGCTACATACATGTAATTCATAGACAAAGCTCTAAAGGTAACCACCAACAATATACCAAATAACATAGTAGATGACAAGGAGAGGGGGAGAAGGGGTTAATGTATGCACACATACACTACCGCTCAAGCAAGAAAATATAAATATTGACTACAGTCCCCATGTTTGCAACTAATTGTGAGGCACTATCTATAACTTCCTTAATGCCTACACTCAGTAAGGAGGAGGAGGGTAGTATGGAAGGTTCTTCTTCTACTTACCTACACTTTCTGGACCTGTGTAATCTGCGCTTGGATGAAACAACACCATATATTGGTTATTGATTTAAAGCATATACCATTTTCTCTAGAGCAGTACCCCACCTCATAGGATGTCCTCCAGCTGGCTTTGTAACTGAGTCTTCAATAGACTATTGCTTTGCTCTAAAAGCCCAGCTGCTCCTGGGTTATGGTAAGACCAGTGAATCCTGTGGGAAATGGCCTATACCATCCTGACCACAAGCCATGTTACATGGATTACCGTTGATGAATTAAGCCTTCAGTGAGTCCACAGAAGACATTGCTAGTAGAAGCATAGCAGTAAAGTCAAATCTATATCCAGAACAAATACCCATTCTAGTGAGAAAAATTGCTACCAAGTCCACAGTGAAAGGGGTTCAGTATAATCAGTAACTAGGCAGCCGACCATGCCATCCGCATCACACACATTTGGAACTGTATGCAGGGCTCAGTGTGGGTCTCTGCTCCTGGTAATGTAAGCATTCAGTGGCGGTGGTGGCCAGGTCTGCCTTTTGAGAGGAAGTTCATGAGACTGAACCCACGAATAACTTCCCTCTCTGTCACCATGGCCACTTTGTTCCCGAACCCAGTGAGTAATACTCGTGATGCTGGGGAAAGAGGACAGCTGACATTTGCAATCCTGGTCTTCTTGCCCATCTGATTCTGGAAAGTCTTCTCTGTCCATTGGTGAGCTTTCACATGAGGCACAAGCATTCTCACACTATCAAACTATTTTGAGAGGTCCATGAGCATACCTCTACCCTAGACCTTCTTGTAGTCCAATTATTGTTCCTTTCAACTTCCTCATCAAACCAAACCTTTAGGTTCTATGTACAAATCTTCACTCTGATAATCTTCCCCTCTAGATAAAGTATGCTGTTTGATCTGCTTCTCAAAGTTCTGCTTATTATAAACATTTATCTTCTACTTGTCCTTTGTTACCAACAGCGTGAAGAGCTCTAATGCTATTATCAATTTATTTATGGCTGATGCCAGTGTATTATATGCATAATCATTACTAACTCAATCTTCAATCTTTTTTCCCTACCTATAGGGAAATCCCTTAAGGCTAAGTTAATAGGTATAGGGAGAGATGGCATTATAGGAGGATGAGGTGCCATGAGAGTTGGAGTATTTGCTCGTGAAACTTTCTTCTGCTTTTAGAACTTTCTTGAGTCTGCTCTTGTATATGCCACTTCAAGTTGAGGATGGAGAGCTGCTCCTCACATCCAATTTTAAGAACAGGTCAATCAAATAGCATCTAATTTGGAAGTCAGCTCAGGTCTCAAAACCAGTTCATTTCCCATGGCCAGATATTCAGTCTTCACCAGAATCCAACAACGAAGATCAGGAGATGTTTCCCAAGGAAAATAGTTACTTGTCAGAGAAGCATGGCTTTGCTCTCAATTATGTGGCAGTGTTATGATTCTTTTACTGGGGAATTTCATAGGCTCAATGATCTGTTATAGATATTTTGTACACAGTAGATTTTCTGAGTCACAAGATCTAAGTAGTTAGAGTGGCTTATTCTTTAAACTGAACTGCTGACGAATATTCTTTTGCTGTTGGCCTTCCTTACATATAGAGCCTTATGGTTTATTTAATAAATGGGAAGGAACAACACCGGTGTAGTATTATTTTGCCTCTATAATGCTAAAAGCCCACCAAGTGTGTGTGCCTCTTTCTTCATAGAACTGGGTACGAGATGCAGCAAATTGTCTTTTACTTTGGAGGGGATACCTCTAAATATTCCAGATCTCTAGACTCCCAAAAACATCAATGAATTGGCAGATCTCTGAACTTCCATGGAATTTATCTCTTATTCTCAGTCAGATATGTGTCTTACCAAGGCATCTTATGTATTTGTTACTTTCTGACCAAAATGTGATAACAAATCCCACCTAGTACAACTAGCACAGTGAATCCAGAATCTCTGGTAAAGGTACCCATGTTAATAATTTTGATTCAAAGGAGCTATGTTGCTTTTTTCCTCCTTAGTCTAGTATTTTAGAATTCATTTTCACACATGTTCTCCTGTCTTCTGCTATATAAATTAGAAGTCATACAAGTCTTTTGATATATACGCTGTATCCTCTAGGCATAACCTGGTCAGATTCTCCTGATACTTAGATGCCTCAGCCCCATAGTTCTAAGAAGTAAGACAATGAAGCTCCTTGATTCTTTTTTTTTCCTTTTCCTTTTATTTGTTTTATATTTCCTTCCTTCCTTCTGTCCTTCCTTCCTTCCTTTTTTTGAATAAACAGCATATATTGTATTTATTTTTTATTTTTTAACTTGACATACAGTAAAGTTGATCTTTTATTTAGCCTTTATTTTGTAATTTTAACGTTATCTATAGATCTGTGTAATAACTAACACCACAATTAGGATATGGAACCAATTTTCCTCTAAGTACTGCTTTAGCTGCTTATCACAGTCCCAAAGGGAAACAGTGTTCCCAGTCCAAACTGCCAACAGTTGAAGCTTTGTGAAGACCATTGTTAAAATTGGCAAATATTAAAACAGTGATTCAGATAGCATAAGCCTTGAGGATATTATGTTTCAGAAAGTGATCAGCTTGCTTCTGGATATATAGGAATTTTAGTATATAACAGGGGCTATATGTGTCAGAGTGGAAAGTCAGGATAAGGATGAATATTTCTTATTATTTTAAACCAAGTAACTCAGAGGCTTTCCTAAGTTTAACCAAACTCCCATGCTCCTAGGCTCCATTTGGATCTGATTACTCTGCTGTAAGTTGGATAAGAAAAAATCTTGGGATAATTTGTTTTCTAAATCTTTATTTCTTGCATATAGTTCCTGCTAGAACCAGGAAGGCATACTGGATAATGAAGATCTTTGCATTTGCTTTTGCCAATCTTGTCACATTCCAGAGAGAGGCAGGGGAGTCATCATAGTAGTTATAGTAAGAATCAGGAGAAAACAACCATTTGCTTTAGGGGGTTGTTGTTGTCATCTTAATCACTGAGATGTAGTTTTGTCTGAAAGGAAAAAATAATCCAGATGGTTAAGTTTCTTTTCATTCTTCAAAAGATGAGTGTTACTACTTTTGAGGTATACGGGATGGTTGGGGGGTACTGGCCTCCTGGAATATTGGATGGTTTTAGCTGGAGTGGAAGCTGGTGCCTTCTTGGGCAGAAAGGAGTGAACTCATTGGGGTTCTATTTGAGGCAGGACAGAAGGTAATATCAGTATGAGGGTGAGTCTCAGAATCTCAGCTTTGGGAGAGCTGCATAGTGAATATAATATACTAAAGCCACATATTCAAGAGGCAAAAATATAGTTTCTTATAATTTTCAATGATTTAATATAATCTCAATATTAACATGCCATTTCATCTGGATAAGGGAAAGCTTGACCTAATAAATCCAAGCAGATTCTAGAAACAGGTTTTTCTCCAACAATTCCAGGTTTTTTTGGACTTCTGAGGGTGATAGATACAAGGTTTTCACAGATGGCCAGTCAAACATCTTTGATAAGTTCTTGGGATCTTTATTCACCTGAATAGGTGGATAAAGTGTTTACTGTTTATAGTCCTTTGCTATGAACTTTTCATGTGGATTTGCATTTTGGAAAAATAAAAATAATCAAATAATAAATCCAGGCCCTTAACTTGAGTCTATCTCTCAAAACTATTAAGGCTTCTTTTGTTTACTGCTGTATCCTTAGTACCTAGAATTGTGCCTGGCACATAGTAGATGCTCAGTAAATATTTGTTGAATAAATGGGAGTAAATAGATGAATGAATCAAAACTCTAGGGTGTGAGGGTGCCTGGGTGGCTCAGTCAGTTAAGCTTTGGACTCTTGGTTTCTGCTCAGGTCTTATGGGTCCTTAGATTGAGCCCCTGTGTGAGGCTCTGCACTCAGAGGGGAGTCTGCTTGAAGATTCTCTCCCTCTGCCCCTCCCCCCAACTTGGACACACACATGCTCTTGTATACACTCTCTCTGTCAAATAAATTAATGTTAAAAAAAAAAAAAAGTCTAGGTTTTCATTTGTTTCTTTTAGGCCTAGTTTCCCCAGCAGAAGAGTAATCAAATGAACAACCATATACTATAGAGAAGAAAAAGAATTACCCTGGATAATGGAAAGAAGATTCACTCATAGAGTGGGTAAAATGAGATTCAGGTAAACATCTTTCAGTTTTGAATCAGAGACAGGCAGACAGAAACTGTATTTGTAAGTATAAATTCTAAGGTTGAAAAAAAAAGCTTTAACTGAAAGCAAATTATGTAATTATCTCCTTGAATGAGTATCCTTTGCCTTTTGTGTAAATAAGGATGATCAAAAATAAATGAATGAAATTTAGCTAAATTTATAACATCTTTACTTAGATATAATTTATATACCATAAAATAACTTAAGTGTACAATTAAAGTTTTTAAAAATAAATTTACCAAGCTGTGCAAATATCAGAATCCAGTTATAGAATATCTTAATCACCCAAATATGATTCCTTATGCTCATTTACACTTTATATTTACACTTATATTCCCAAGCCTCATTCTCACTCTATTAAATCTACTTTCTACCTCTCTTGATTTGCCTTTTCTTAAAATTTTTAATAAATGAAATAATAAAATACTTGGTCTTTTGGGTCTGGCTTCTTTCACTAAGCATGTTTTTGAAGTTCATCCGTGTGGTAGCAAGTTCTTTTTTATTTCCAAATATTTCATTTCGTGGATATTACATTGTGTCCATCCATTCATCAGCTGATGGACATTGGGTGGTTTCTACTTTGGGGCCATTATAAATAGTGCTGCTATGAACATGTGTGGGCAAGTCTTTAGATGACACATGTTTTTGATTTCTTTTGGGTCAATACTTAGGAGTGGAATTACAGGGTTTCATGGTAAATTTATGTATAACTTTTTAAGAAACTGTCAAACTATTTTCCCAAAGTGACTATACATTTTGTATGTCCACTAACACAGTATGGGGCTCCTGTTTCTCTACATCCTTGCCAACTTCTGTTATTTTCTGCCTTTTTGACAATATCGAATATAATCTCATGAAGAAAAAGCAATCATCTGTGTTTCTTTGTGCCAGCTTTATTGCTAGTGATATAATGACAGCTAAGATATAATTGGGAACATTTAAAAATATTCGGAATGGAAGTTGTAAAACTTGAAAAGAAGCAAAAACTCTCTGCCATCCTGTTAATTTTCTTAAAGCTCTATTTTTTTCTAGTCCCCCTTCTATTAGGAACTCTTCATGACCCCTCTTGGTAGTCTGCTGGGGTTGTCTCATACTGGGATTTATGAGACCCAATTATTAAATTTTCAGGAATTTTGGGGGCCATTTGTTAAACACAACCACCAAAATTAAATATTTAAACTTAAAATTACTAAGTTATTTAAATACAAAGACAAAACTTATTTCTTAATTACTTTAAGTATTTTACTATTATCTATGTTTTGAAATTTCCTATGTCTATTGCATTTGCATGGTGGACACACTACATAGTGGTGTGCTACTGAACATGTATCTCTTCCTAATGCTATTTCCAGTGATCCTACACTGATAGCTTAAAATCATCTATGGTAGGAATATTTACACCACAGAAATTGGCACATGCTACAAACCAGGGCTTTTTTTTTTTTTTTTTCCCCTCAGAGAAGTGGGTTGTTAAGTATTTACTGGGTCTAAATTTATCTTGTCAGTATTTTTTATTAAGTTTATTAAAGCTGTAGATGGTTTTGGAGAGAATCACATCATTAAAATATTAAGGGAACTATTTGGTTGTTAGTTCTTCTTCTATTCACCTCAGTAAAATTTTCTTTCCACTTATAGCTTGAATCCCCTTCTTAGTAATATTATTACTTGACAATTTGTATTTTGGAGATAGAGGTGGGCAACAACTATATCTACCATAGTTATATATTTTTTCATTATCTTGGTCAGGCACTAATTATAGTATTATCTCAACCTTATACAATGAACTGGGAATGTCTTTCATATTTTTCTATCCTTTGTAATAATATAAGTTCCTAGAAATTACATGTTTTTAAAAGATTTGGTCAGAATTGACTATGACATCTGAGCCTGGCAGCTTTCTTAGATATACTAGGTAAGTTTTTTTACTCAGTGTTAATTAAATCTTAGATTTTTTCTTCAATTTTAAAAGTATATCACAATTATCCTAGAAAATATACACTGTAAACAAATGTCCACGTTTTTTACAAGGATTTGTACATTATAGTCTCTCTCTGTCTTTTTAAAGATTTTATTTTTAAGTAATCTCTACACCCAACATGGGGCTTGAACTCACAACCTCGAGATCAAGAGCTGCACACTCCACTGACTGAGCCAACCAGGCACCCGATGATAGTTTCTTATGCTTCTAAAATCTTAATCATGATGGTGTTTATACCACTTTTCCCATTCTGAAATTATTATCTCTTCTTTTTTCCCATTAGATTTTCGTGAAAGCCAATTAATTGGCCTTTTCGAATAGCTACCATTTCGCTTTATGTGCTATTTCATAAATCCTTATTTTAAAAATTTTTATGTTTATTCATTCCTCCTACTCCCCTAAGACTTAGTTTGTTACTCCCTTTCCACTTGCTTAGTATGAAAGCACAGTTTGTACTTCTTTGTTTTTATTATAAAAAGTTATCAAGCTATGCATTTTTTTCTGGACATAGTTCTGTTTGCATCCTTTAAGTTTGGAAATATATTCGAAAGAGACGGTAAGATGAGTTGCAAGTGCTATTGAAAAATCCAAGCAGATCAATATAAAATCTAATTTTTTGTTAGTAATTTAGAACTTTTATGCATTATGGCCAAATGATTTTTCCTATTGGGGGTTTGTGAAGTTTCTTTTGATCCTACTATATTATTAATTTTTATAAATGCTCAATAGTTACACACATTTAAATATATATTTTGGATAAGAGCAGAAGGGTTTGCATTTTAAATACTTTTGATTAATAAACTATTTTATGCCTTTTTTATGCTTACGTATAATTATATTTATTGGGGTTTTTTTTGGAAGACACTTTTTGAATAAAATACAATAAGCAACTTTAAATACACCTCTATCTTTACTTATTTCCTACCTTGTTTAAATTAGAAGTATGAGAAGAAGGTGATAATAAAGACAATCAGGAGAAGATGTGAGAGAATAAGAATCACACAAAACAGAAGCTTTAATAACTTTTAAAGTGGCACAGACATAGAAGAGTCACACTACCTAGGAAGAGTGTTCGCTAATATCTAGATGATTGACATAAAATCCTTCAGAGTACATTTTACCTTGGAAATGACGGAGATAGAAAAATAAGCAGAGAATTATACTAATTATAAAGACTTCAGTCCAAATTTGGTTGGTGCCAGGATTAAAGGGCAAACAACATGTAGCTAAGTTTCTTTCTACTGTCTGTAAGTGCCCAAGGGGCTCACAGCAAGAGAAATAATTGGTCACCTGTCTCATAGCTTAGTCACCTCAGAGAAGCTGGCAAGTAATTCCTGCCACATAGTAAGTGTGTGACACATCAGGCCTCCTTAACTCCAGACGCTGAGTTCTTTCCATTTGCCATAAAACCTTTCTAGCATATGCTCATGAAGAAAATGGCCGAATTGAATAAGGAATCCTATTGTGAAATATATTTTAACTTCTATACATGTTCAAAATTATTTGAAATTACCTATTATGAAACCCATAGTTGTGCCTAGAACTATGAAACTAAGGGTAAATAATGTAGACCAAACAATGAAGGGCCTGGGTTAGATGATTCATACAAGATTATCTAAGTGAAGGACACCCGTGGAACTGTTTACAAAATTTGACTCTGAGTTTCCTGGAAGTAAAGGTGAAAAGGGACTATATGATAAGGTTTCGATCCTCATAATCCAATAAAAAGAAATGTATCCATTTAATATGAAAATCTGAATATCTCCTATTTTAATCATAGGAGAATTTATTATATGGGACTTTAAATAAAAATAACACTAACCAGTATAATGAACATCCTCAATAGCAATTTTTATGAGAAAATTATTTTTAAAATTATAATTTATAAACCAATTACATTTTTTACAAATTAATTATCATAAAATAAGCAAAACAGATAAAATCCATTTTGTGTATAGCATAGCACTTTCCTTTTAAAAAAGAAAATTCATGCATTAGTAAGGGAATACCAGCAGTAGACTAACGGAATTCACTTGTTTTCCATTGCTTTAGATAAAAAATTACATACATTTTCTTCAGTGTTGTACAATTTTTACTGCTTGTTATATTTTACTGAAATTGGATACTGGATTATCTATCTGCTGTTTAGTTGGGTATCATCAGCCGAATCATCTTCATCTGTAGGAGTGACCTACAAATTATTGCACCTAAATGTTATCCTGTAACATCTAAATGTGATTCTGTAAAAATAAGGTAAAGGAAAAAAGACCTCTGCCATCACTGAGTCTCTTTCCCCTGATTACCCAAGATCGGATTCCCTAGACAGAAGATGTGGTTAGCATTTGATCCTAATAAAAGGACCCCAAATACTTAGATACAGTTCATTTTAATCTTAGTTGAAAAGATTGTGGACAGACACTTAGGAGAAAGTGAAATCAGCATAATATCTCCTCTTCAAGTGCAGTCCAGCTTTCAGAGTGGTAACGTGGATTTCAGCCCTCCTCATAATTGTCCTTGATGAAAACAGAAGGATTTCACAGCACAGAAAGCAGTGGTTTATGAGGCTGGGTACAAGACAGACGTACAAGAGAACTCTGTTCATCGTCTTCAAAGTGAGGCAGCGATGGCACTGTCGCTGCTGTGGCCACATGTAATATAGCCTGTAGCTCTTTAAAGAGGATTAGCTTTAGCGGCTGGGAGCATTCAATGCTGGTTTCATGTAGAGTAGAATATGCTAATGAAATGTAAATGTCCAAGGCAAACATTGCGTAATATGGAAAACCCTCAAAACTGAGCTTTGTCTCTTGCACAGTGGGAAAACAAACTTTATCATCATCAGAAGTAGAAAAGGAACGACCTTCCACTTGTCTGCCTTATGTATCTGCTTCTATAAAAAGTGAATTAAAATATATACATATATTTAATTTAATTTAATTTTAATATCAGTGAAAAAACCAAAATTCAGTCATTCAAAAATATCTTGATAGATCTA